GCCTCATAACAGGCAACTTTATGCTTCTAGTTTCTTCCCTCTGCAAATAGCAGCTCTCTATACACTTCTTCCTCCTCTTCTCTTCTCTGCTGGCATCTCTAACTCCCTCCACTCTCAGCAAGCGAGAAGCCTGAATGTGCTCCATGATGGTTGCTTTTGGAGGGAGCCACAGAGCTTCACTGTACACATTTCTCTGGTTTCTTTCCTACTAGGTTCCAGTAACTAGGCTGAGGGCTAGGAATGCAAAAAAATAAAAAGGCAAAAACCAGCACCTGTCCTCTGTGGAGGGAGGAGACAACATGCAAACATAATACAAACAAGATATATACAAGATAAATTGGAGAGAAATGGTTATTTCTCCCTCTAATTAATTATTGAATTAGGATCAGGATTTTTTTTTAGAAGCCTTTCAGTCTCTGAAGGACCTAGCTGATAATGAGATTGAATTAACTTTCTTCTCATTCTTGTTCAGACCCCACCCAGGTGAGGAAACCCATTGTGCTCTGCACAGGTTTGGGTGGGGATAAATTTTCCCAAGAGATTGCCCAAGCTTTTGTGATTTGAGAAGTAAATGATAATCAAAGTCACATCCCCACCACCCCGCCCCCCAGCCATTCAGTAGAACTGGTCCACCTATCATTGTAATTTTCATTCTCTCATTGTTAATCAATCAAAGTTGATGGCCACCCTCATGAATACCCACTCTTCCAAGGGCATGCAAACTGTAAGCCCACCATTCCTCTTTGGCATTTGAGGGTGTTGCTGATCTATTTTATTGGTAATATACTATATTATTGATAAAATTATTAATTACCCAGAAACTAAGTCTCTTGAACTTTTTAAACATCACAAATTGGAGATAATGCCAAAGGGAAGGCATTAACATTAAGAAGGACCGGGAAAGACTTTTTACAGAAGTGAGGATTTTGGCTGACACTTGAAGAAAACCAAGGGAAGCCAGGAGGCAAAGAGAAAGAACCTGGCAAGGGAGACAGTCAGTGAAAATGGTGGAAGATGGAACATCTTGTGTGAGGAACAGCAGGAAAGCCAGAGTCACTAGAGCATGGTCATGTTTGGGACTCAGTGATATTAGATGTGTGGCTGTCAGTTCAGTCCACTGGAGGAAAGGTGTCAGTGCTAATTTTCCTTTCTTAAATATGTGTGTATCTGGATAGCTAGGTAGTATTGAAAACTATAACTTCGATTTAAAGAAGCTATTTTTGGATAGATATGTGTAGTTATATTAATCTAGAAAATTTTACAAAGTCCATATATATTTTGGTCTGGTGATTTACAAAGAGCCTTTGTACCTCAAAGAAATCCATATATGTGTTATTTCTAATTCATTTTACTGACAATATCCTATTAGCCATTTGATGAAAAATGCCAGTAACTGGCACAGAGGTAACTAGAGAATCAAAGACCAAACTCTAGCAAAACCGATTAACAGTCTGAAGTAAATAGAAGCACATATTTTCAATAGCCAAGGTAACATGCATGTCAAAAACACACATGAAGACAATAAAGGTTTTGTTCTTTGACATTAGTAACATTGTTCATCTAGAATTCAACCCAATCAATCAGTTGTACTAATTATGCAGAAATCCTTGAATGTCTTAGATCAATCAATCAACAAACATTTATTAAGCACCCACTATGGGCCAATCACTATGCTAAAAGATGCCAAAAGATGCAAAAAGAATAAAAACACAGTTCTTACCTTCAAGGAGCTTACAATCTAATGAGGAGACAACATGCAAACAAATATACACAAAGCAGGCTATACACATGATAAATAGGAAATAATTTAAAGAGGGTCAGCACTAGAATTAGCCAGCACCTGGAATGTCTTGTTTGTACAAATAGCCAAGAGGCCAGTGTCACTGGTCTGAAGAAAATGTGTTGGGGAGTAAGGTGCAAGAAAATTGGAAAGGTAGAAGGGGGCTAGGTTATGAAGGTTTTGAATGACAAACAGAGCATTTTGTATTTGTTCCTGGAAGCAAGAGAAAACCACTGGAGTTTATTGAGTGAGAGGGGAGCGTGACACGATTAGACTAGTGTTTTAAGAAAATCACTTTACTGATTGAATGGAGAATGGACTGCAGTGAGGAGACACTTGCGGAAGGCATACCCACTACCAGACTATTGAAATAATCAGGGCATGAAGTGATGAGGGTCTGCACCAGAGTGGTGGCAATGTCAGAGGAAAGAAGGGGGCACATTTGAGAGATGCTGTAAAGGTGAAATGGATAGGCCACAGCAATAGCTTCGGTTATGGGGATGTGAGAAAGGAGTGGGAGAGTGACAGATAGTGAGGAGTCCAGAATGACATCTAGGTTTTGAGCCTGAGGGACTGGGAGGATGCCCTGTTAGAAAGTCTGAGCAACACAAAAAGAGTGAATTCAGAATCAGAGTTACAATCTTGTCATTGGAAGAAGTATCTAGTTCAACCTATATCTGAAGAAGGTTCCCATTCAACAAACATAAGTGGTCATCCATCCTTGGCTCAGAGAACTCCAGGGAAGGGGAATCCACCATCCTCTGAAGCACCCTTTTCTGCTTTTGGAAAGTTCTTATTATTAGGAAGTTTTCCCTCTTCTATCAAGCCAGCCACATAGCATAGCATCATTGAGCCCAGAGCATGGCCATGCTCTAGTGACTCTGGCTTTCCTGCTGTTCCTCACACAAGATGTTCCACCTTCCACCATTTTCACTGACTGTCTCCCTTGCCAGGTTCTTTCTCTTTGCCTCCTGACTTCCCTGGTTTTCTTCAAGTCTCGGCTAAAATTCAGATAGCCTACACAACAGGTATTCAATAGTGCTTATTGAATGAATGAGCAAACACACTACCAAATGTATTGCTCCTATTTCTGTTTTCTAGGGCCATCTAGAAAAATGACCATAGGATTATAAATAGAAAGCCATCTAGTCCAAAACTCTTATTTTTCAGTTGAAGGAACCCAGGGACTTGCCTCAAATATCATGGTAGTAAACATCAGAGTTGGTTGGGATTTGAACACATGTTCTCTGACTACAGGGCCAATGCTCTTTCCACAGTTGTCTCCCATGACAGCCCTTTGTCTCCATGAGAATTTTTACAGTTTACACTATGAAATGTTTTGGAACAAAAACTGTACCATACAGCTGATTCACCAGCCTTGGATGCAGATGACTTTTGACCATTAAAAAAAAATTAAATCTCCCCTTAAAGGATAAAGGTTTGCTACAACTGAGGATGTTCAAAAGAATGTGCTATAGGCTCTGACAGAAGTTCCAAAAACATTTTGAGCAATTATAGGAATAGCAGCAGGACAATTCTCTGGAGCTCTGAAGAGACTGTGTACACTTGGGTGAAAAAGATCTGGCATGTTTGTTTAAGAGCAAAGTCATTACTTTATCACCATACCTTGAGTGACTATGAATTGAGTTCATTATCCAACTGAATTTAGTTGGAGCATCTAGGTAAAGCATTTGATAAAGTGCCAGCCTGGAGTCAAGAAGACGCATCTTTCTGAGTTCAAATCCAGCCTCAGACACTTACTAGCTATGTGACCCTAGGCAAGTCACTTAACTCTGCCTCAGTTTCCTCACCTGTAAAATGAGCTGGAGAAGGAAATGGCAAACAACTAAAGTGTCTTTGCCAAGAAAACTCCAAATGGGGTCATGGAGAATTGATTCAAGGGAAATGGCTCAACAACAACAACAACAACATCCCTATTCAGAAGGAAGCTGGAAGACAAGCTATTTTTTATTTTCTTGAGGCTAAGGATAAAAACTAATCAGCAAAAATGAAATACAAAATGGAGAACTTTGATAATATTAAATTGAAAAGTTTTTGCACAAACAAAACCAATGCAACCAGGATTAGAAGGAAAGTAGAAAACTGGAAAAGAATTTTTACAACCAGTGTTAGGGCCTCATTTCTAAATGTATAATTAAGTTAAATTTATAAGAATACAAGTCATCCCCCAATTGATAAATGGTCAGAGGATATGAATAGGCAGGTTCAAGTGAAGAAATTAAAGCCATTTATAGTCACATGAAAAAAAATCCTCTAAATCACTATTGATTAAAGAAATGCAAATCAAAACAACTCTGAGATACCACATCACAAATATCAGACTGGTCAATATGATAAACAGGAAAATGATAAATGTTGGAGAAGATGTTGGAAAATTGGGAGACTAATGCATTGCTGATGGAGTTGAAATGATCCAACCATTTTGGAGAGCAATTTGGAAGTGTGCCCAAAGGGCTATAAAAATATGCATACCCTTTGATCCAGCAATAGCACTTCTAGGGCTATATCTCAAAAAGATCATACAAATGGGAAAATGACCCACACGAACAAAAATATTTATAGTAGCTCTTTTTGTGGTGGCAAAGAATTGGAAATTGAGAGGATGCCCATCAATTGGGGAATAGCTGAACAGGTTGTGGTATATGAATGTAATGGACTACTATTGTGCTATAAGAAATGATGAGCAGGCAGACTTCAGAAAAACCTGGAAAGACTTGTATGGTTTGATGCTGAGTGAAGTGAGCAGACCCAGGAGAACATTGGACACAGTAATAGCCACGTCGTGTGATTAGTAGTATTAATAGACTTAACCCTTTTGAGTAATACAAGGATCTAAGACATCTCCAAAGACCTCATGATAGAAAATGCTACCACATCCAAAGAAAGAACTATGGAGTTTGAATGCAGATTGAAGCATACTATTCGCTACTTTCTTTTCTCCTGTTGTGTTCTGTTTCCTCTTTTTGGTGGTTCCTCCTATTGGTTCTAATTCTTACTTACAACATCACTAATGTGAAAATATGTTTAATAGAAATGTATATGTAGAGCCCATATCAGATTGGGTGCCATCTTGGGGAGGGAGGTGGGGTGGGAGGAGAAGAAAAATTTAAAACTCAAAAGCTTATGGAAGTGATTGTTGATAAATCAAACTAAATTAATTAAAATTAAAAAAAGAGAGTGCCAAAGAAGAGTCACCTACCATGAAAAGAGCTTCATAGCTCTCAATCATCTTTTGTACCACAGCAATGATAGCTGTGCTCTCTTCTGCTCGGGCTGAACTCTGCACAGAGAACTCTTTGTCTGAAGACTTCTGCTTGTGCAGCAGGTTAGGTCCAAATATGGTGGCCAAGTTCAGTGATGTCATTTTGTTCCCAGTGACCTAGAACAACAACAAGAAATATAATGGATTAGCTTTTCAGAGTCCTTAGTGGTACCTCAATCATTATTACTATTCCTTTTCTGTTAAGTTTTTCTACCCCTACATTGGCTACAGGATCCCTGTTTGATTGTATGAGCATCATACATTTGGCACAATGCCTGGCACATAGTGGACACTTAATAAATAGTCATTGATTGATCGTAGGTCAGAGATGCAGAGTAGGGATGAGGCCTTAGAGGTCTAATCCAACAGCCACATCCTCATTTTTCAGATGAAGCAACTGAGATCCAGAGGTTAAGTGACTTGCTGAAGGTTATATAGGGAGCGAAGCAGAGGCAGGATTTGAATCCAGATTCTCTGACTTCAAAGCCAGCATTCTTTCCACTGTACCATGATGCCTGCTAAGTACTATCATCTTCCATTTCCTTAACATCTTCTAAGCAAAGTAGTAACTAAGAGATTATATAACTTTCCATTTTTCTATTGCCAATTCTGAAAATATCCAGTAAGTAATGTGTCACACCACTATCTAGCCTGTAGTTAAGAAAACCTGACTTTACTATTCTTCATATTTGTTATTCTAATAGAGTTCATATTTACTGGCCTAGATTACTTGGAAACCCAGGAACTCTTCCCTGATTGCTGAGTGTGTCATTTACTGATGGGTGATACCTTTCATTCCTGAAATGAACTCCATTTGTCCTTGTAATCCAAGGAAACCTTGGATTATGTTCAAAATATCAAACTCAAGGGCCCTGAATGATACTCATGAAAACTGAACTGAGCCCTATTCTTGCCCTGTAAACTACTGGGCTGGCATCTGGCCTGGCACTTCCAGGATAGTACTGTGGCTGGTATATTTTTAGAAAGCAAGGCTGTTTTCAGGTGAATGGACCAACGCCAAGTTCAAGTAGTCTGTAGGGTAAGCAATGGAGACTGCAAGGAAAATCATGCTGACAGTTATTCCATTCCTCCCAACCCACCCTGACCCTCTTTTGTTTTTGTTTTCTTTCCTTAAAATGTGTCAAGTGCAGTAACATTTTTACCATTTGAAATTTTTGGGTTATGGGAAAAAAACCCCAAAATTCGAATAAAGGATCAAATCACAATATATAATTTCAAGGCTTTTTGAGTGTTATGTTTTAAAGTAAAATTAGAAACTCCTCATTTCATAGCTGTTTAAAAGGATTTTTAAAAAATAATTTATAGACTAAGAATAATCATACAATAAATATAAGCTCCCTTGTATCCATATTATTTTGCTATAATGGGAGTATGAAATATTCCCAGTAAAACCTCAAAAAAAATCCAGCTGTTGATTACTTTATTATGGGTGTCGTGGTTTGGCAGTATTTTTTTGTTTGTTTTAGTAAAGCCGGGACAATAAAGTTGCTCAAAGCCTATAATTATCATTGAATCCCAAGTCTAATCCTATATATTTTTTAGTCTGTGGCAAAAAGAAAATGCAATGTGCATCAGAAGCTTGACAGTTGCATGCCTAATTTGAATAATTCAGACCCCAAGAGGGATTACAAAATTCTGAATTACCTAATTCACTACCTATGCTGAAGACACAGAGAAACAATATAGAATAATGGATACAGGGCTGATCTTGGAGTCAGGAAGACCTGGGTTCAAACCCTGGGTAAGTCACTGAAACACTCAGCAATCCAGGCAACTCATTAAGACCCTAAGTTACAATTTATTCATTTGCATCAGTGAAGGGAGGTCCTATACCAGCAGAGCCTTACATTGAAGAAATCCCAGATCAAATGTCCAGAAACTGACAAGATGACCTAGACAATCATAAGATAGTTCATGACCATAAAGTGTTTTACAGCTTTCAAAAATTTTTTTTTCCTTTACATCCCTCTAATATAGGTAATAGAAGGAGCACTGATTTTTGGAATCAAAACAACTGAGTTCAGGTCATGACACTTTCGCTTTCTAGCTATGTCACCCTGGGTAAATTCCTTTACCTCATTTACTCCTTTTCTATAAATTGGGGCTAATAATATTTGTACTCTCTACTCTCGTGGGGTACTGAGGAAATCAGATTTCAAAATGTTAAAGCACTATGAAAATGTGAGTTCATCATCATGACCATTAACTTATTTTATAGACAATTTAACATATTATTTATTTATTTATTATATTTGTTTTTGTTGATTAGCCATGTATGACACTTTGGGACATTTGGCGTTTTCTCGGCAAAGATACTGAAGTGGTTTTGCTATTTCCTTCTCCACCTCATTTTACAGATGAGGAAACTGAGGCAAACAGGGTTAAGTGACTTCCCCAGGTTCATCCATATAGTAAGTGTCTGAGGCCAGATTTGAACTTAGGAAGATGAGTCTTCCTGACTCCAGGCTGGGTACTCTACCCATTGTACCACGTAGTTTCCCATTCTCATGTGTATACATATATATGTATATGTACGTGTATATGTACATGTATATGTATATGCATATGTATATGTGTATATATACATATATGTATAAATATATATACATATATGTATATATATATATATTATATGTGTGTGTGTGTGTGTGTGTATGTGTGTGTGTGTGTGTGTGTGTGTGTGTGTGTGTGTGTGTGTGTGTATCTATAATATATATTTACCAATGAGGAAACTGAAACTCAAAGATGTGAATTACATGCCTATGCTTAAAAGTAGCAAAATTGGAACTCCAATCCTGGTCTTCTAAATTTAAGTTTGGCATTCTTCCCAACTTACTACTGAAGATAATTTCCAGAGCTACTTTTCACAATGAATCCTTGACCAATGTGATAGACAAAGGGGAGATTATTCTACACTTCAAGTTCTAGAGTGCTACTAGTACAGGATACACCTGGGGACACAAAATTATGGCTACTAAATGTCTCGATGTTTATTTTTACAATGGAAAGAATTAGAAAGGCAAGAAAGCACTGCAGGTGAGAGAGAAAACAGGGCTCTTGTAGAGAGAACTACCACATTGGTAGCTGGTTTCTTATTTACAAGCTATTTATAGGTTTCTAACCTAATGGTTCCATACTCTTTGGTATCTTCCGCTTTCCCAGAAGGCAATAATTTCTACGAGATCTCACCCCTTGGTTCTTTGGTTCCAGGATCAAATATCTATCCAATAATAAAATTGCTTTTACTAGTGGATAGTTGTTAGGATAGTTAACTATTCCACCTATCAAGTTCCAGAGCTTCACTAGCAGGGTGACACAAAATTATGGATCCTAAATATTTCAATTTGTATTTTTGTGATAGAAACAATTAAAAAGGCAAGAAGGCATTGCAAGTGGCAGAAAGGATTTAGGGCAGACAGCATTATTATGTGAAAGACCTGAAATGTACACATACTATTCATCTGAGGAAATTATGCCACCTGTGATACATCTTTGTGTTCTCATGAATTACACATTGACTTTTAGAGGCAGGGAAGACTTGAGTTTAAAAAAACTCAACATCTTCACATTTTAAAAATGATAACACTAAGACCCTAGACACTAGATACTAGAAAGGTTAGCTGATTCATTTAGTGGGAGAGCTAGAACATGAAAGCAGTTATCTGGAGAACAATCTGGAACTCTACCCAAAGGGCTATCAAACTACATATCCTTTGATCCAGCAATGCCATTATTAGGCTTGTACCTCAAAGAGATCCAAGAAAAAGGAAGAGGACTTACATGTACAAAAATATTTAAAGCAGCTCTTTTTGTGGTGGCAAAAAAACTGAAAATTAAGGGGATGCTCATCAGTTTGGGAATGGCTGAACAAGTTGTAGCATATGATTATGAGGGAATAATATGCTATAAGAAAGGACTGGGACAGGTGATTTCTGAAAATATGTCAAAACCTACATGAACTGACACAAAATGATGTGAGAAGAACCAGGCGATCACTGTGCACAGTAACAACAGTGTTGTAATGGTGATCAATTATGAAAGACCTGGCTACTGTGATCAATGCAATGATACAAGATAATTCTAAAGGACTCACAATGAAAAAAATGCCACCTACTCCTAGAGAGAGAACTAATGAACTCTGAGTGCAAATTAAAGTATAATTTTCTCACTTTCTTTAAGTTTTTGTTTTTTGCTTCTTGGATGATATTGCTAATATGGAAATGTTTCACATGATGTAAGCTGTATAATTGGTATATTGTTTGCTTTCTCAGTAAGTGGGGGAGAGTGGGAGGGAGGGAGAGAATCTGAAACTCAAAATTTAAAAAGAAAAAAATGTTAAAAATAAATCAATAATATATTTTTTAAAAATTAAGAAATTAAAGAAGAGAAAGGCATGTAGGTTACTCACACTTCTCACACCAGCCCTCATCTCTCTCCATTTATATGTATAAAATGTAACATATGTTATATATAAATATATTTATTTCCCTTTAAAGGAGGAGTCAAGAAACAGCATGGCATAGTGTAAAGAATGATGGCCAGAAGAATTAGGTTCAAATGCGACCTCAGATACTTGCTACCTATTTGATCATAGGTCAATTTCTTAGCCTCAGTTTCCTAATCTATAAAATAGTAATAATAATACTCACAAAGTCCACATCAAAGGGGTATTAGGTATTTTATCATGATTATTTTAATAGGAATACCAAAAGAGTAGTAATAGATTCAGGTGTTAGTCTAGCTTTCCTAGATGACTTTTCATTACTTTAGAATTAATGTGCCTTCCTCCCTCTCCTACATTATTTGCAAAATTGCAATTTAATAATAGGTCCATTGAGACAGGATTTTTCCTGCGTTAGTCATATGGAATAACATAAAACTTCTATTATATCTATAGTTCAAAGGCCAAACATCCAGTCACAGTGCATCAGAGGCATCAAAAACAGTGTGATATGAACTAGATTAAAATTCATTTGAAAATATTTAACATAACAAATAAAAATATGATAGAACATAGACAATGTTAATATGTGGTTTTCTTAGTCAATGTATGGCTCACAGGGATCCTTATATATAGTTTAGTGGTCTAACTCAGAGGATAATATTCCAAAGAACAAGTCTGGCCATGTAGACCTCCCTATTCAATAAACTCCTGCAATTCCCTATTACCTCCAGGCTCAAACATAAAATCCTGTGATTGGCTATTTTTTAGCGCTCTTTTGGGGACTTGGCTGAAGTTCTGTTCTGGCTTTCATTGTCTTCCTACTCTTCCAGTCTTCTTACACCTTACTTCCTTCCAAATCCTCTGTCATCCAGTGACACTGGTCTTCTTGTTCCTTGAACATGACACTCTATCTTCTGACTCTGGGCATTTTTACTGACAGTACCCCATCCCTTCCTTCTCATCTCCTCTTCCTGATTTCCTTCAATTCTCAGCTAAGAGCAATAATGTTTTAAGAGTAACTTCGAGTGAATAAGTCATCTTGACTCTTATAAATACCCAAATTAACTACAAAGAACATATGAAAGAAGACACTGTCTGCATCTGGAAAAAATAAATAGAAGTATGTATAGGATGATTTTACACACACACACACACACACACACACTTGTGTCTAATAGTAGCCATGGGAGGGGGAAGGAAGAAAAAGAAGAAATGTACATGGTCATTTTATTATATATCTAAAAGGAATATCAAGTTATACACAATTGATTTGCAGTTTCGTGTACAATCATAATTTTTAATTATACTATATTATGGAAATGCTTATTTTATTCCATAAATTAAAAATTAATAGATAAAAATTTTAAAAGTCTCAGCTAAAGTCCCATCTGCTGCAAAAATAACTTCCCAATCCTCTTTAATATTTATGTCTTCCCTCTGATGGAATTTAAAGTCAATTTATCTTCTAACATATCTTGTTTATAGTACACAGTTATTTGTAAGTTGTCTCCCCCATTAGATTGCGAGCTCTTTGAGAACAAGGATTTTTTTTCCCCTTCCTTTGTATCTCCAGCATTCAGTACTGTCACTAGTACATGGTAGATCCTTAATAAATTCTTGTCAACTAACTGACTGATTTTGAATTTTCCAAAGTTGCAGTGAGAAGCACAATATTGTTTGCATGGTACGGTAAAAAGAGCATTCACTGGCTCTGGATTCAGAAGACCTGCTACTACCATTTGTAGGACCTTGGGCATGTCACAACTTCCCTGAATTTCAGATTCCTCATTTGTAAAATGAGGGATCTAGTTGGACTATGTGGCCTTTGAGGTATCCTTTAGCTCTAGAGCCATCTCATGAGATGAAGGACATATTTTATGGCCAAGGGAATGGACTAAAAGGTAGTCATCTCCCCCAGGTGAATTTCCCCATCATGTTTGTTTCTTCATATTCTTCACCAGAGCCTGAATTGTACACACATACCTCTACCTTAAACCTTTCCCAGAGACTGAATTGTACACACATACCTCTTGTCCATCTTTGTCAACATTGTCTTCTGCATGTCTGGCCACTGTAGAGAGGAATTGCAACAATCTGTGGAGGGTGTCACAATTGCAGGGAGGTAGAAGGTAGATGAGAAGCTGTAAGGTGCTCAGTTGCTCCTCAGGATCTAACACTAAGGCAAAGAAAAAAGCAAGCTAATTCTAAAAAACAATAAGCATTTATTAGGCACCTGCTACATGCTGGACACTATTCTAAGTGCTAAGGATACAAAACAAAGAATTAAACAATTCCTACCCTCCAGGAGTTTAAGTTCTAATGGGAGGGAGGCAAAATTACATATAAAGATGCACAACACAAATATGAAGTTAATAAATACAAATAAAACATTGTTAAATATAAGATTTTTGAAAAGGAGGATATTAGCTATTGGGGGAATTAGAAAAGGCTTTGTGTAGAATATGGGTCCTTTAGCTTTTTGTGACATGGACCCCTTTGGCAGTCTAGCAAAGTCGACTGACCTCTTCTCAGAATAATATTTTAAATGCATAAAATAAAATGCATAGGATTACAAAGGAAGCCAATTACAATGAAATAGTTATCAAAATACTTAAAATGAAAGTTCGTTGATCCTAGTGACCTAGTAATCTAGGATCTTAACTAGTAACTTAGTCTTAACAGACTCCCTATATAAGTTGAGGTTTAAGCTTCATTTTCAGGAAAGGGGACTCTATGAGGTAGAGGTACAAAGGGAGTGAATTCCGGGTGTGAGGAAAAGCTGGTGCAAAGTCAGGGAGGAGGGAGATGGAGTTCCATGTGTAAGAAACAAAGAAGGAGAAATGGCTAAATCAAAGAGTGTGAGAGGGAGAGTGATGTCCACTGAGTCTGGGAGGATAGATTAGGATAAGGTTGTGTAGGGCTTTAAGAGATATATGCAGGATCTTATATTTTATCCTAGAGACAAAAAGAAGCCACTGGCATTGATTGAGTAAATGAATGACTGAACTGTGCTTACAAGAGAATTATTTTGGCAACAGTTTGTATTAGAGACTGGAATGGAGAGAAAATTGAGACAGAGAGATGAAAACCAATCATACAATGAGGCAAATACACCATTCGTGAATGGGGATGCTATGATTATTGATGGTTCATTAAGTAAATTTTACCTATCCCGAGTTTTATGGCTTAATGCGTTATAATATTATAAGGAATTACATGTTAACAGTCTTATTTTTTTTTGTCTGAATGCCAGTGAAGGCTTTTAAATTTGGCTTTACAACTTACCAGAGGTTCATCTTTTCATAATGCCATCTAATAAGGCAGACTTCACAGAAATTATGCATTTCTTTCAACTCATGATCTCCTCTGCTGTGCTCCTAACACAGGGGCATTATGGCAGAAACTAGAAATATAAGAGCTGCCACAATTCTCATTTCTCATGTTTTCCTTTCTATTCACCCACCTCTTTGTGGCTTCTCTCTTAATAACAAGGATAGAAACTTTTTACCCCTAGGCACATAAAATAGAGACTCTCTTGGTGAGACTATTGGTGTCATTTGATAGCATCTTCTACATCCAACAATCTTCTGGGAATCATTCAAAGATACTTTCATTATGTTTTAAACATTTCCTTCAAGTTTGTTTTTCCCCATTCAGTCTAAGAAATCATGAATATGTCTCCCAGAAGGGTTGTTCAATGGGCAGAGCTATGAATACTGATGGCAATAAAATCCAAAACAAAACAAAAATGCTTTATCAAGAAAGACGCAATAAGATTTGGCTGTGGGAGTCAGACCATTACATATATGTATGTACATATGTGTGTGTGTGTGTGTGTGTGTGTGTGTGTGTGTGTGTGTATTCCAGGTATTTTTCTATCCTTTTCCAAACAAGGCCTGGGACTTACAGATAGTGTTGATGAAGGCGGTATAGAGTTCCCTGGTGAGAAGGGGGTCTGGCATGTCTCTTAAAAATTCTTTGAGCAACGCGGCCACATCATGGACACTGTGTTCTTCTTCCAATGAAACATCAACACCACGGTCAAATTCCTCACGTAACTGGAATAAATGAGGATGCAAAGGACAATTATATCATAACACTCTGAACTTCTGTTATAAGAATTAGGTAGGTGGCCAGCCCTTTGAAATGCCATGCCCAGAGTGGAGATATCACTGGTCTCACTCCCAGATTTGCCCCTTTTGGGCAAGACTATGTAAACCAGGTGGTTGAGATTCCCCTTTAGTTCCAATAAAAAAAGGCAAGTAGCTAGGGATTCCACAATATTCTGGCATTATGCCACTAATAGGCTGCAATGAGATGACTAAATGATTCTTCTGTAGACTGTATCTAAATCTAGGTCAAGGTTGATCAGACCACTGGCAAACAGTTTATGAAGAGCTTTAGCAATCTTCCCTGGCTAACCAGATATCTGCAGGAGGTGGACAGATGATTGACCAGAGACACTTCTCTTTTGGTCAAGGGTTGCTATACTGAATGATGTGGTGCCAGTGCAGGTGAAGGCATCTTTAGAGCCCTTTAAGGTATGTTTTAGGGCCACATTAGTAGCTAGGTAAATGCCCTATGCTCAGACTTTAGCTTGTACTATGGGTAGCTGAACTATAATGTCCAACCTTGTCCCTTAGAATCAACCCCAAGGACATTTCATCCTGGTCCTAACCTTGAAAAAGATGACAATTTGAGAAGCAGCAGCATAGTGAAACAAAAATGAATACATTTTTAAAAGCAAGGGATTTAGAGTTAGAAGTAGATTCAAATACAAGCTCTGCTATGAATACTTGTGTGAACAGGGCAAGTTGTTCAGTATCTTGGGCTTTAATTTCCTCATATTTTAAATGATAGAATGGTAGAGAGACTGTTGGATTTGGAATCCAAAGATCTGAGTTTGAAGTCAGCTCTGCCACTGACTGTTCTGTCTGAGCATGGGCAAGTAGTCTCTTCGGGCCTCAGTTTTCTTTCTTGTAAAAATGATGAGGTTGGACAAGGTGATCTCAAAGGCTTCTTCCAACTTTAAATCCATGACAGGATGGCCAGAAAATGTCTCTGCTTCTTTCCAGTTCTAAATCCTGATTTCCAACTTTGAATTGTTAAGAATCTCTTTCAAATATTAATCTAAAAATCAATGCCCTGTAAGTGCTACCCTTGTTCCTGGTTCTGTCCTCTGGAGTAAAAGAATAAATCTAATCACTCCTCCACCACACAGTCATTTATATATTTGAAAATTATTATGTCTATCTTTCCTAGATTCAATTGCCTCAGAACTTTCAATCATTTCTCATATGGCATATTATAGGATTCTTCTACCATCCTGTTTTCTCTCTTCTGGACATTTCTAGCTTTAGTGGTGTGGAGACTGATGCTGATTGCAACCAATTTATAACTTAGCAAATGGTCACTGACACCACTGAATTGAACTCCCAACAGTCAACCTGATGACAAACGTCTCTGAACTGAGCCTTCCCCATATATAAACTTGAACCTTTGTAGCTTGGTAAGACTATGATGAGACAGGAGTTATTTATATTCTTTCTTTGTTTTTCTTTTTTCTTTCCTTCCTTATTCTTCCTTCCTTCCTTCCCTCCCTCCCTTTCTTCCTCCTTCTCTCTCTTCCTCCCTCTATCTCCTTCTCTCCTCCTCCCTTCCCTCCTTCTTTTCTCTTTCTTCTCTCACTCTCTCTCTCTCCCTCCCTCCCTCCCTTCCTTCCTTCCTTCCTTCCTTCCTTCCTTCCTTCCTTCCTTCCTTCCTTCCTTCCTTCCTTCCTTCCTTCCTTCCTTCCTTCCTTCCTTCCTTTCTTTCCTCCTTATCTGGGTTCTTCACAGGCCCAATCCCAATACTAATCAACATGGAAACTATAACCTACTCTGTTTTTCCAATGTGGGCTACTTCACCCTTCCTTAGGAAGCTTGGTAGCCTTATCTTCTGGGAAGCTCACCATATTTGTGCCAGATTTAGTTGGGTTGTTCTGGGGTTCTGTGTGAAATTCACTGGTTTAGAGTTTCTAGAAACTACCATTTTCCCCCTTTTTGAAAAATTATTACAATATTGTCTAGTCTTTCACCTTTAGGCAGCTTGCCTAAGTGATTTCTCCATGATTGCTCAAATATTGTAGACAATCTTATCTGTAAGATCTTTAAACACATAGGAAGGTATCATGGCAGAAATCCTAGGGAAGAGAAGAATGATCACAAAAATATGTTTTTAATAAGGGTTTCCTACTCTGGAAGAGCTGGGCCATGTATTAACCTCTGCCTTTGAGCATGTCAAAGTCTTTTGAAATCCCCTTTAACCTTAACAATACAGATAAGTGAATGGATGTTTACCCAAGGCAGTGTCAGGTGTTGTAAATGAAATGTACTTTCTTCGGCTCTATTAAATTTAATGTTTCTTTGGTTTTTTTAATACTAGCTGGAACCCCTTATTTTTCCATTTGGGCCAAATAAAAGGAGGGTGTTATTTGAAATTTCCTTTAACGAGCAAATAAACTATCAGTTTGTGTCCCTTTTACCACAAAGCCATGGATAAGTACTGCTGGTTTCTCAAACACTACCTCACAGATGAAAAGACATGTCAACAATCATCTTGACTTGCAAGAATGCTACTGCACCAAGATGAATTTCCTTATCTGTAGAAGGGGGATAATGAGATTTGCACTCTATACTCCACAGGGTTGTCATGGGGAAAGAAAAACACATTGTAAAATTGAAAGGAGTACATAGATGGAAGTTGTTGGTATTGCTGCTAAACTACTTCCAAAAGGAGGCCTTTCCTGATTCTCCCAGTTGATAGCTCTCCCGCCTCCCCCAAAACTTCTGTGTATACCTATTGTTTCTCCTGATAAAATTTAAGTTCCTTGAAGGTAGAGGCTAATTTGACTTTGTCTTTGTATCCCTCAGCAAGGTAGTACAGTGGACAGAGCATAGATTTGGAGCAAGGAAAAGCTGAGTTCAATCTGGCCTCAAAAACTTACTCACTGTGTGACCCTGAGCAAGTCACTTAACCCTGTTTGCCTCAGTTTCTTCAACTATAAATGAGGATATAAGAAAATAATAGCACTTACTTTCCAGCATCGTTATGAATATCAAATGATATGGTATTTTTACAGTACTTAGCCCAATGTCTGGCACAGTGCAGGCCCTACATAAATGCTTTTTCTCTCCCCCTTTATCATCTAGCTTAGTACCTGACACATACTAGCTGTTTGACAAATACTTGTTGAATGGATGAGTAACACTGGACAAAGTACCCAAGTCATATTAATATTAAACTCAACTGGAAAACACATTTAAGAGGTTTTTTTTATTTCCTCTTACCTGTCTTACTCTTTTTTTTGAGCTCCCAACTCGGAATATTCCCACTGTCTGGAGACCTGCAAATACAACATATACAGCAAATAACCTTGTTTCATATTCTTGGAAGCCAAACAAAAACAAAACAAAAGAATACCATTTAAAAAAAATCAGCCTGACAATAGTTAAAGAAGGCAGTGTGGGGAGATTCTGAAGTAGGCAACCAAAATTCAGAAATGACTCATTTTTGCATACGGAACTCGGGAGGTACTGTTCAACATAAGCCAATTTTCCAGGTAACTGAACTGTGTCATAACCTTTAAACATTTTTAATGATTTTAATGGAAATCTGTCTAAAATGCTTTAATATTTCTTTGTTAGCTTAAACAAAGCATAAGGAATCTTTTCTTGATGACTCAGTATTATTATGATTATCCCGTTTTGTTTTTTCATTGTTTTTTTTTGTCTTGTCCCTCATGGTCAGGAGGTCAGCTAGCTTTTTTCCTTCTGTTCCTAAGAAAATGTTTCTCCTATAGTCTAGCTTAGCCCTGACAAAATCAGTCAGCCTTTTTTTTTTTAGCCTCAGTTTCTTCTTCTGAAAAATAGGTTAGGTGGTATCTAAGGTACTTTCAAAATTTTAAATTCAATAATTCATTCAATTCCCACTTCTAATTTCCAGTTGGCTGCTTCTAACCTGCTAAAGTAGAGAAATAAAATGACCAAAGTCTTAACCATAAGTTAAACTCCAGAACAATGGTTTCAATGCTTTCAGTGACCAAACTCCCTCTATCAATGCAGATTGGCAATTGCTTTCTAATTTACATTGTTAAGAAAATTTCCTGGGCAACTGACAGGTTAAATGTCCTGCTCAGGGTCAAATGCCCATTATGTGTCAATAAGATGACTTGATTCTAATCTGCAAATTTTCAACTTATACAAAATAGATGCTTATTAAATGGTTATCAGAATTGTGCAAGAGCTACAGGGGCTCTCCTATGAAAAAAGTAAATGAGCTATTAGCACATGGACTTTGTAAAATGCATGGTAACTGCTCAGTTTCCTTTTTCTTTTCTTCCCTTCTCTCCATCCCACCCTCCTTCCTTTCCTTTTTCCTTCTTTCTCTCCCTTCTTTCTTCTTTTCCTTTTTCCTTCCCTCTTTTCTCCCTCCCTACATTTTCCCCTCCTTCCTTCCTTCCTTTGTGCTTTTTTGTTTGTTTTGTCCTGGGTCCTATATTGGATCATAGGACTAATACTGGAAGGGACTTCAAAGGTCAGTTAGTCCAATATTCTTGTTTTACAGATGAGCATAACGTGGCCCAGCAATTTGCCCCAAATTACAAGGATAATAAATGATAGAAGTTAGATTTAAATCAGCATTCTACTTAAGGATGCCAGAAAGTAACCTCTGAGTAAATGAGGTATTACTTTACTCTCTTTCCAGGGAGGAAGTAACATGGATAGGAAGCTCCAAGTTACTTTTATCATGATTGAACAGGAATTCATGGGTGCCCATGCCTGGAATGGTCTCTCTCACTTCCACTTCTTAGCTTTGCTAGCTTCATTCAAGACTCAGTTCAAATCCTACCTTCTGAAGAAGGATTCGATCAGCTGGAGTACCTTTCCCTCAGAGATTCCCTTCCCTTTATGTTGTATTACCTTTATCTACTCTGTGTTTTTTCTATGTACCTATTTGTTTACATGTTGTCTCTCCCCATTAGAATGTCAGATTCTTGAGGGCAGGGACTGTATTTGCCTTTCTTTGTATTCTCAGAACTTAGTACCTGTGCCTGCTATGTGGATTATTACCGTTGTCGTTATTTAGTCATATCTTACTCTTCATGACTTTATATGCAGTTTTCTTGGCAAAGATACTGAAGTGGTTTGCTATTTCCTTCTCCAGAGGATTAAGGCAAATAGAGGTTAAGTGACTTGCCTGAGGTTACACAGCTAGTGAGTGTCTGAGGCCAAATTTGAACTCAGGTCTTCCTGAAGTACTTACCACAGTGCCTGACACATAGTAGGTGCTATATACTTATTGCTTCCTGACTTCAGCACTCTATCCATTGAGTCATATAGCTGCCTCCTGGTATATAGGCAAGTACTTAATAAATCTTATTGAGTGACCAACTGATCTGAACTCAGGATAAGTAGTGGTAACAACGAGTTAAGGATATAGTAATGAGACTCTAGGTTTTTTTTATGAGTTGGTTGACAAGAACAGCAATCAAGCTACTGGTTGAGTTGTATATCTTGTAACTTTATAATCTAAATTCTTTATGACTGTATTCGTTCTTGTTTTTACCTCTGCCCTACCCATTTTAGTATAAAGTACTCTACCTTAACTGTTGACTACTGTTTTCTTTCCACAGTATAAAGACATAATTCTCAACATGAGGTCATTCATTTCATTGCATTACTTGATTAAGTATGCTTGTCAAAATAGCTATGGCAAAACATCATTTCCTACAAAATTGTTTTTACCATGAAATTACTTCTATAATTCAAGGAGCCGACCCATTGCACTTCAAGCAGGTGCTCAGTAGCAACTTTCTGATGATGAGGCTCTCTGAACTTGGTAAGGATGAACTTTGCATGACACACACCATGTATAAGCAGGTCCATTCTTCAGCATCTCTAGCCTGGAAGAATTTGCCAGATCTGGTAGAGACTTCAAGAATCCCAGGTTCTCTCCACAGTGTAGATGAGGCAATGAAGCAGGCCTTTAGTGGAGGTCATGGCATTGGCATGGACTGTGCCATTTTAATTTAGTTGATTCTGGGTTAATATCCCAAGGCTTTTCTTCTTTTGCTTCTTATGAGAGACTACTTTTCTAGTGTGATATGCATCAAAGATAAGGAATATTCTATAGCGTTAGTATTCCTGACTCAGGACAATGAAAATAGGCTTACTTCAATGAAAGCATAAGTTAGCCAAAGAAATGCAGATTATAACACTCATTTCTATATATGAATGTAAGTATATACATATATGTGTATATATAGCATATATAGATATCTTTTTCTCTCTCAAATTTCTGTGCCACCACTCTTCTCTATTTTAGTCCAAAAAAAAAAAGAAAAGAAAAGATTCCTCTCAACTAGCCAGAAAAATCAAAGTAGTTGGGAACACATGATTAGAGAATTGGATATTGAACATCAAAGCTGTGGTATCATACAGTTTGGCTCTCTCTGCACTTTATTTTCCACTGAAATTTGTGCTTGAGGGAATATAGGGTTTACTATCTTTAGGCAGAAAAAGCATAGTGCCTACAACCTAGTAGAGCCTTCATACAACGTTTAAAAATTGAACATAATTATGGTATATCAACTTAGATTGATACAAAAGGCATCTATAAACAAGTGGAACTGATATAAAATTTATAGGTTAAATTAATTTGTGTGAATGTTGAAGAATTTTTGACACTCATTTGTAAGATTTTAAAGTCAAACTTTTGAAAATATAATCAGTGCTCTTCACTTGAGACAATGGTGGAAATTCATTTGAGGATTAATGGAGGGAGAAACAGATGGTATATTATTTTGGACTGCAGACCACTTGGACAGGAGGAATTAGATGAGGAATTTGGGAAACAGATCACAAACTTGGCAGAGAAGAATTATATTATAATGACAAAGTCCTTTAACTATCAAAGCATCTACTGGAGGCGTCTCATAGCCAAAGGCAGAGCAACTGAGAAATTTGTGATTTGCTTTAAGGAAAATTTTATCCTTCTAAAGGTGGAGGGCCTGAAGAGGGGAACTGCGATATTGGCCTTAATTCTAACCAACAAAGAGGAAACAGTGATTGCTGAAATAGAAATGGTCGAAACCTTGGAGGCAAGTGAATGCTTCATCAAGGAGTTTGTGACACAGAATGGAAAGAAAACGGGAGATAATCCTAGATTTTGGGAGAACACATTTCAAAGGATTCAGGGAAAATATAGGCAGTATTTGGTTGTCTTTATAATCTCAGTATCTAGCACAATCTCTGGAATGTAAATATTTGTTGAATTGAACAGAAAACCTAATGTAGGCCACTGAATTTATCAGGTATAGTAATAATCTTAAAAACAGACACATTTTAGAGGCAAATGAAAAATCTGCATAACAATAACATTCCCTAATTGCTATTTTCATCTTCCATAAAACATGTTATATTATTGTGAACTAGTTAATTCCATTAAGTATCGCTAACGTATTCTACGAAGACCTAGCTGTGCAGTGATCTACAAAGTGAAACCATCTATTGAAACATTTACTTCTAAATTTTAAGGAGCATACATGTGTGTGTTTTTAAATACATCTACAGTAAAATCTATGAATTCAGACTAATACAGGGAAGCACCAATCAACACAAGTAAAAAAAACTTGAAAAAACAGGCTATTTTTCAAAAAATACAATTGTACTTCCTTTAATTACCATCCAATAAATTAAAGTACATATTTAACACAAGCTGTTATCCATAACTTCATTAACAAATAGTTGCACAAAGCTGAATGATTTGTGAGAAGCAGATCACTTTATTTTCTGTAAATATACTAACTAGTTTACCTTGAAATCTTGGCTACCCTTTTAAGTTATTTTGAAAAAAAAAATTTCTTCACATTGATAAAGTTTCTTCAGAATGAAAATATCTAAGCCAGAGTCTGTGTTGCAAATTTCAAACTGGCCTAGGTAGAATCAATGGAGTTCTCACATGAATGTGGTTTGTCTTTACTTTATCTGGTATCTTTGACATGGAAGATCACTTACCATGTTTTTCTAAATGCTGGCAGCAGCTGTCCACAAGTCTGGGAACCTGTCTGTAAATAGGGTTTAGACTCAGTTTCTTATCTCTTGCTTTTTCTTTTTTGTTTTGAACCTCAGCTGGCAAAGACAGTTGTAATGCTTCTAGTAGTCGAGACTGATTGTCATCCAGATCTGTAATAGAGTCCACAGACATTGCACCCTGTAAAGTACACACACACACACACACACACACACACACACACACACACACACACACACACACATATGCAATCAGTACAGATGGATAAAATAAAAACAACCACCCTCCAGATCACATCAAGTAAATATTTTTGCTCACAACTGTTGATATAAAACTTGAAATAACTCTGCTTGATTTAATTAGGTTGTTTGTATATTACAGTAATATAAGGGAAAATGCTTTCTTTGGAAAAAGTCACCAACCTACCACAAAGAAGGGATAGAGAGATAACGTCATGCTACATGCAATTTCAACAAGAGACCACATTTTCCAAAGGGCGAAGAGATGAGAAAGAGCAATTAAAGCATTTTGACTTGCCCACCAAATTCAAGTATGAAAAAAAATCAACAAATAGAATCAAGTCAAAGGAGTCTGATTAGACATACAAAAAGTTATAGGAATTTTAAAAGGCAGTAGTGCTGTGAGAAAAATTCCTTAAAATTGAAATAAAAATGAGGACTGGCATATCCTTTCATACCTTCTCAATAAGCACAGGAGCAGCTAGGTGATGCCTGTGGACAGAGTATTGTGCCTAGTAGTCAGGAAGAACTGAATTCAAATCCAGCCTTAGACACTTACTAGTTTTGTGATCTTGGACAAGTCATTTTACCTTTGTTTCAGTTTCTTCATTTGTAAAAATGGGGATGATAATAGCATTTACTTTCCAGGGTTGTTGTGAGGATCAAGTGAGATAATATTTATGAAGTACTTAGCACATTGCCTGACACTTAGTAGGTGCTATATACATATTAACTATTATTATTATTAAGTACCAGGTTTCAGGAGAGTTGGTACCTATACATTTATTGCTTTTGTTATGGAATCATTTCAGTCAGTCCAATTCTCCATACCCCCATTTGTTTTTTTTTTTTGGCAAAGATATGGGGGTGGTTTGCCATCTCCTTCTCCAGTTCATTTTACAGATGAGGAACTAAGGCAAACCAGGTTGAGGTACTTTCACCCAGCTAGTAAGTTACTGGAGGCTGGATTTGAACTCAGGTCTTTTTGACTGCAGGACCAGTGCTCTATCCACTGAGTCATCTAGCTGTCCATATTTACTGATGATGGGTACTTAATTAGGGATATGAAATATAAAGGGTAGAACATTGGGTACAATGCTGTATAGAGTGAGTGAAGGACTAAAAACCAGGGATAACTTTATATATTAGTATTGAAACCACTAATTAGAGTAAAGGGGTCAAACAGGTAACCCATGGGCCACATGCAGCCCACAAATACTTCTGAACCAGATTAAAATTAATTAGGAAATATTTAACAAACTAAATAAAACTACAATAAGACATAGATAATGTTAATATGTAGTTTTCTAAGTCAATATGCTTCCACAGGGGTCCTTATGTATGGTTTAGTGGCCCCTTTTTTCTAGAGTTTCACACCACTGCATGAGACGATATATTAAAGAGATATGTTGTTGGCCCAAATGGATAGAACACTTCCGATATGATTACTGCCTACCTTGACCAATAATCAACAAGGCTGGTTGCAAAACTTTCCCCTTAAATTAACAAAATATTTATCATTGCTTCCACAGCAACATTTGATTAGGAAAAAAAAACAAAAACCCTTTCTTTAGGGTTTATTGGGACTACTATTATTTTAATTCAATTCAATTAAAGACATGCTGATGAGAACTATCAAGCTATTTAATTCTACATGAAACTACCAATAATATCACAAAATTAGACAGAACTTCATGCCTTACAAAGTGTTTTTCTCATAAGCACTCTTTGAAGGTAAAGGTATCATTATCCCCACATAAGAAATAAGGAACTGGGGCATAGAAATGGCATGGAATGGCAAGGAATAGAAATCTCAGTTGAGACTTGAATTCTCATCTCCTGATTCCAAATCCTGATTGAGATGATAGAAAAACATTGTATTTGGAGTTAAAAGACATGGGAATAGCTACTTACTACCTAGGTGACCCTTTAGCAAGTCACATGATTTTTCTAGGCCTCAATTTCCTAATCAGAAATTTGAAGAAGCCGGATTCGACGATATCTAAGGACCTTTCCAATTCTGGCTTCCACTCTTCCATGATGGATGATCCAGGTAGTCTCTTCCCATTAAATTATGCTAATAGTTTCCTGCAGTATGGGCAAGAGCTAACGTTTTAGATTCCATGTGGTATTGCATATGGTTCTTTAGTTTACTTAACAATTACACACTGGGTATATAGGCATGATAGAAAAGTAAAGACCAGCTTACCCTCCTCCTGGCACGTGGAGCAGGTTCCGGAGTGTTAGGGGATGTTGACTCATTTGGTGTTTCTGAGGTTGAGCTAAGAGATGAATTACTGCTTGAGAGTTCTCTGTTCTGTTTCTTGCTTCCAAATGGTAAAAGTGAAGCTACAAAATCGGATGCATCTTTTTGCTCCTCTTTCTGAGAGTCCTGTTTTAGTTTGTAGGCCCGGTCATTAGCAATTACTTGGGATAATGGCATTCCAAAAGCCTGGGGTATAAATTCTAGAATGAAAGAATAGGATTTCACTACAAAAACCAAAACCAAATACATGCAATTCTATTTTAGACCAACTTTTCAGAGGGAGAAAAATTCAAATGAAGATTTTCAGAAAATACCGATTTATTTAGCTGGCTACCATTCCATCTGTGAAGGTGTTTCCTCCTCCCTGAAATTATCTTAATTCCTTTAAATTTCTCTGTTGACTCTCATGCCATCCTACTTGTGTATTTAAAACATTCTCTCACCTCATTCTTTAGTAGAATAGGAATTCCTTGACGGGAAGGGCTGTTGTTTGTATAATCACATTTACCTTATGTAGTAGCATGCTTTGTATACATTTTGTTGAATCATTTCAGTTGTGTCTGACTCTTTGTGATCCCATTTGGGGTTTTCTTGGCAAATATATTGGAGTGGTTTGCCTTTCCTTCTCCACTTCATTTGACAGATTAGGAAACTGAGGCAAACAGGGTTAAATGACTTGCCCAGGGTCACCAAGCAATTATCTGAGGCCAGATTTAAACTCAGGACGATGAGTCTTCCTGATTCTAAGCCCAGTGCTCTATTCACTTAGCCACCTAGCTGCCCTGTTTTGCACAAAGCAGGTGCTTAATGTACGATAAATTTAATTTGATCTCCATTAATGAACTATTGCATAAAGCTCATACATTATGTATCTTATAGATCCCATAGAACCAAAAACTAATGATTACTGACATATTTTTATTGTGATACGTAGTGCCTGCCATGTATTATGCTTTCTAATTCTCATCTTGAAAAAATAGTTATAACATGAGACTTCTCAATGGTCTGCAAAACTTTCTCCTCTTTCATTTTATTTCTACTAACTCTCCTTCTTGTATTTGTGGGCTTCCCTTCCAACTACTTTCTCTGTGCAGTCACCAGATATCTAAGTATAAGTTGACTTAGTGAGTAAAATCTTATCAAATTTTTAGAAGAATATTGCTAGTTCCTTATCCTTTGAAAGTGATGTTGGTAAGTTATAATTGTATTCATAGCGGTCTTTTGGCTTGGACTCAGAGACTCAAATATCCCAAGAAGTGGCATTTCTTGTTTTCTAGAAAAGGACAATGAAAACTTCTTCACTTTCCTCTCTTAGGAGAATCCGTGAGCCATCTTTTTACCAATCTGCTACTTCTTTGCACTCTGGTAGTTAGGATGCATTAGCAGTATTAGTATTATAGCAAGAAGTTTCCTGTGGATGTTACACAATTGCCCCAGTAGAACATGAAGTTGCATGTTAAGAATATTAACAATTGAATTATGCATAGATGGTGTATGAACTCTGTGATCCTGAACATCCTCTGTCCCTTTTCTGTCCCTTTGATGCTGTTCCTTACAGGACTGAGGAACACTTTGTGTTTTTGGGGTTGTTTCATGGGTCACCATGGCCCTTCCAAATCTGAAAAAAAAGTCTGGATGCCAGCTTCTCTGAACTTAAGGAGGTAACTTCTACAACAATAACTCAGTCAATGAACATTTACTTAACATCTACTATGTTCCAGGCACTGTACTAAGTGCAGGGAATATAAAGAAAGGCAAAAGATAGTCCTTGCTTTTAAGAAGCTCACAGTCTAATGGGGAGAAAACAGTCAAATGACTATGGACAAAGAAACTACAGGCAATCCTCAATATTCTTGCATTTAACTTTTGGGACTTCAAGCATTTGTGTTATTTTATTAGTAACCTCATTTTCACTTTTGCACTGGTGACCTGTGCACACTCCCGACTATGCACAACAGAGGAAAAAAATGAGAGGCCTGCACAAATTTGTGGAGCAGCTGGTATATTACTAGGTGCATCACTGCTTTTGTTTACCCTGCTTTTGTAGATAAAGAGCTCCCTGTGCATTTCTTGCGTATTTTCATTGTTTCCCTTTAAAACTCAAGTTTTGTTTTGTAATTATGCACCCACAGTATACTGTAAGTCCTTTGGCTCTAAGGGTATGTCTAGACCTCACCAGTCTTCCACCAACACAAGTGACTACAGTCCCAGCACCCTCTCCCTCAGTTTTCAGAAGGAGGCTTTACAGCAGTATAGTATGCGGTACAATGCCTTCACACCACCCATCTAATGAAGTGGAAGGTAAGATTCGGGTTAAAAAGTGTTTTTGTTTTTAATAATTTTATTTGTTGTACAATATTTATGGTAGTATAGATTTCATGTGGAATGAAAAGTGAATATTGTCTGAAATCAGTTTTGTTTGTGTTTTAATTGAGATGTTAGCACCAAAGGTCATAGAATTCTAGGGAATTACTAGTGGGAAAAAGGTTTGAATGTTAACCAGTTTTATTTTGTGTATTGCATTTTATGGGTTATTTCATAGTTACAGTAAGAGGAAAAGTACAAATTATCAGAATTAATGTTTCGTTGTAAAAATTGTATGCAGAAAAGCATATTTTCAGCAATCTGTAGCAAAAGATTACAGTTATTGGTGGTCACAGGACCCTAATCTCCTATTTCCCACTAAGGTAGAATATATCAACATTCACGTTTTTTACTTTCTGACCGTTTTCTAGGAACATTACCTCCATGAAAGTTGAGGACTAACTACATATACAGGATGAATCTGAAATAATCAGTTGAGGGAAGGAACTAGAATCAAAGGGGATGGGGAAAGACTTCCTATAGAAGGCTGGATGTTAACTAAGACTTGAAGAAAGCCAGACAAGGTAGGAGATGGAAATGAGTAGTGAGAGTTTTCCAGGCATAAGAGACAGTAAAAATGCCTGGCAGTGGGACATGAAGTCTATTGTTTAGGAATATCACTTTGACAGCTAAGTAGAGGATAGACAGACTGGTCTGGATAGAGGCTTGGGACAAGAAGACTAATCAGCTGGCTATTGCAATAGTACAGGCATGAGTTGACAAAGGTCTGCACCAGGGTGTTTTGTGTGAGAGATGCTATGATATTAGGTGGCATAGGATAGTGTGCCAGAACTGGAGGCAGGAAGACCTGAGTTCAAATTTAGCCTCAGACATTTGCTAGCTCTGTGACCTGGGGCAAGTCACTTAACTATTGTTTGCCTCAGTTTCCTCATCTGTAAAATGGGGCTACTGATGATAACAAGGCAAGGAAACAGGGATTTATATTGCAGGATACAGACTGGAGAGACAGGAAGGACAAATGGAAGTCTGCGAATGCTCTAAACCAGGGAAGAAGTTCCTTCACCTGTCTGGAGAAAGGGCACTTGAACACAAGTCTCAGTCACCCTGCCCTAGTTACAGGTCTGCCAAAAAGGATAATTACCTAGATTGTGTGTTATTTTTCCCCTTCTGTCATTTATCTGAGCTTAGAGGGAATATACATGTAGACAATACCAATCATCTGACAACAAAGCCCAGAATTTTAGTTATGGTGCCTAAAGGGATATAATTAGCTTCTATAAAGCTGGTCTCGTATTTCCAAACCTATTTGGTGATAGGAACACATTAATTCAAAGCAACATATGTGAAATTGTGCCTTATATAAAATCCTAGCAAATAAATCAACTCAAGTCAAGAAGTATTTATTGAACTCTCACTTTGTACCAGGCTTTGTACTAAGTACTAGGGATTAAAAAGAAAAGGCAAAATATAGTCCCTATTCTCAAGGAGATCACAGTCTGATGGGGAAACCACATAAACAATTATATACATATATGATGTATACATGATAAATTGGAGATCATAAAATAAAAAGAATTTTTCAAAGCCTCTCACAGTTAGCAAAAACAAAGAGAAATAGGCCAAAGTCATAAGGTTCTTCAGCGTTTCAATCATATCCAACTCTTTGTGATCCCATTTGGAGTTTTCTTGGCAAAAAGTCATAATGATATAGAATAAAAATAATGATGTACTTCTATTTGTCTCTATTATCAAGACTGAGGGAAGACAGTGAGTTAAAGCATTTATTAAATGCTTACTATGAGCTTTCTGAAGGGTTGGACATACAAATTCAAGCAATGACCTCTTGACCTCAAGGTGCTTACATACTAATGAGGGAAAATAACATATAGAGGGGAGCTAGAAATCAGGATGGGACCCTTGCTGAGGCATGTCATGGAAATATCTAGAAATTAATATCTACATACAGATTAGTCTCCTAGGTAATCGAATAAGTATGAATTTAAATCAGAAGAAAAAAGAATAACAACCAAAAAAATAGCCATAACCTCAAATGTTTATGTTTGGAAGGAACTCTTTGACTTGCATAAATTGGAACTATCATGGCTAATGCCCAAATCCTGAAACCTATAAAACAAAAATTTTCAAATTAATTGCAATCTTATTAAGTATTAATTAAGTACCTATTACACTGTACCCTATGTTAGATTCTCTGGGCAACATAGAAGAATAAGATAAAGCCCCTAGCCTTAAGGAGCTTATTGGGGAGAGAAGATATGGAATAGGCATTGAACAATCAATAGTCAGAGGATCTGGGTTCAAATGAGGGGGTTAGCTTAGATGGATTTTGAAGTCTAGCTGTTGATCTGGCATCCCATGAAAAGATACAGTACAATCTATAATAAAGGGCTAAGACATGCAGTTTAAGAAATTCAGGAGTTTGGCAGAAGAAATAAAGGATTCATGGCCTAAAGTTGCATTTAGAAATATGGGTAGAGTTTGAGATTTGTATAGGTGAAGAGAAAAAAGAATGGTTGTAAGAACAGGAATGAAAACAGGTATGAGTATAATATCGTTTATGTGACAGGGGGGATGATGGCTTAGCTTGAATGGAGCATATATGTGTGTTATATAGAAGTTAGAAAACAGATTACCTACATATGATGAAGCATTAGATTATGAAGAGTTTTAAAAGCCAACTCAGCACCGTTTATATATAAAAGGAATGAGTAAAAAACATTTGTGGCATGGCATGATGTAAATGTCTACTTCCCTGGCTGTTAAAGACAATCATTTTGCCCTAATTATAGTCTATTGGGAAATGAAAATAAATTCATATTTCTATGAATATGTTGGAATTCCACAAGTTTTATATTTC